CTCATTATCATCATAGTTCACTTTTGCTTCATTTTCAAAATGTGTGCTCTCAAAATGTTACCATGTTAAATAAAAATAACTCCAGTACTCCATTCCATTAAAGTCAAAAATAAAAAGTCCTAAAGAAGGGCCTTTACTAGTGGTCTTGGCTCCCAAAATGATACTCCCCAACCAAGACTAAGAATGTCCCACATGCTTTGAAGCATTTTCTTTGACCCTTTATGCCCAAATGACCACCAGTTCTTTCCAAAAACCAGCCAAGAGAAGCCCCTGCCATGTCGTCTGAGAACAATTTACTTGGAGCCATTGCAGATCTCACTCTAGAGCCCCCAGAAGCAGGTCCCAGACTGAAGGATCGGAAGCACCCTTCACCCAGCATCAGTTTGTTTACCACATGAAAGAAACGCACTTTGGAAGGTGGTAAATAGGTTGGTTCTTGGTGTGAGAGAAACGGAACTAACTTTCCTGCTCACTCTGGAAAGGCAGAGAAAAGTCAAGAATCTGGTTGTCTCTAGGCCCTGAACCCAGCATGCATCTGCCTGAGTGATTTTATCTCCAAGAAGCGTGGCTCACCTTAGACCAGGAGCCGACGGATCAGGGTGTAGTACTGGGTGTCCCCTTCCTTGCTGAGTCTGGGGCGGGGCTCAACCTCGCACCGCCAGCGGTTCCTGCTTGAAAATCTAGGCGTAGGCTGGAGGGTCTCCTCCACGCCCCCCTGGCCTTCCTTGGTGGCTTCTAGCCCTTCCCCCGCTGCTTGGCCTCCTCCTGGCGTCCCAAGGCCAGGGATGCCCCTCATCCTTACCTTCCTCCCTCTCCCCATAAAGCGTTTGGGGTGGAGGTGGAGACCCCCAGCTAGGATCTTCAAGTTCAATGGCAAAGCCCTTGGCCCTCCTCCCCCCCCCCCTTGGCGCCAGCCTTTTCCCTTCCCCAGCGTTGCTACCTCTGGTTTCCCTCCCATTTAGGAGGCCATTTAGGGGAGGGGAAGGGGAAATGAGGGCATTCTTTCAGGTCTCCTCTCTTCGGACTAACTCCCCCCCACACACCCCAACTAACTGATGGCGGGGAAAGGAAGAAAGGCTGGCACTGGTTCCCCATTGGATGTTTTAAATCGCCAGGCTCAGGCCAGCGCCGGGGTGGGGGGGCAGCGGGGGAGGGGGTTGCCCCAGTCTTGGGCGGAAGGCCCAGGGCTGCTTTGTTGCTTTTTCTCCCTCGTGCCGGGAGGGAATGTCCAGGTGGGAGAGTCTGTTATATAGATTTCACCCCAAAACCACGAAATCTCCTTTCAGCCGACTCCGCCGCAGTCGCCTCTGCGCTTTATGGAGAGATTACGGTAACGATTTCTTTCTTTCTTTTTTAATTCGCGGTTGTAGCTCTGAAGTTTCCGTTAGACAAGACAAGGGGGGTGGAGTACCATCCCCCCCCCCAAGGAAACCTAATTAAAGTGCAGCACTTAAGACTTTGAATAAAACTTTAATGAAGGGGGAAGAAAGGAAGCGGGGAGGGGAGTTTGCTCTGGGCTGGGGGAGGGGCTGGTGCCAGGGGAAGCCTCTGCCCCAACAACCCCCAGTACAGAGGTAGAGGGTGGGGGTGGAAGCGAGCCCTGGCCTGGAGGCAGGAAGTATTTGCAAGCAGAAGAAAAAGGCCCCACAACCCCCCCCCCACACACACACACACAAGCCTTGGGGTGACTGCTGCTGCTGCTGAACCTAGCTGCAAAAATAAACTAAAATAAAGAAGAGCTTCCGGAGGTCGAGTCTACACAAGTCACCACTCCCCTATCACTGGGCCTCGGGAGGCGAAATAAAATCCACCTGCTTTGGAGTTAAAAGTGGATTTGGTCCTGGAGCCCTTGTGTCCACCAGACCTTCCGCGGCGGTACCAGTAGCTGGTTTGGCCCAAAGAGAGGGGAAAAAGGGGAAAGCCAGGATGTGTGTGTGTGTGTGTGTGTGCATTTGTTTGCCTGTGGCATTTTTTTCTGAAATTACCAATTGTGAACATTGTTTAGATGTTTGTCTAAAGAACTTAAGCAATAATAACAATTATAATGACATTCTCCTGTAGCTCACTAGCCCTTACTTTAAGGGAACAAATGATAGCCAAGTTAGTGTGGACAGGTGAATTTCCTTGTAATTTAGACACAACTAAGTGTGAGATTTCAATATGGCAGTGGGTATATAATGCACTTTGGGAGTAAAATGGGTGTTTTGAGGGGAAAAAAGATTCCATAAAAGGGTTTAATACAAAACGAAATTAAATATTTTTTGCACAGGTTCCATACAACGAAATCAGAAAACCGTGGTGTGTGTGGGGGGGGGGGTCTAACCGCGAATTGTTATGGTGAGGAGGATGAGTATTTTACTCCTGTGGAACGAAGATGTGGACAGAAGCCACATGGCTGATGCAGCCTTGCTTCTTTCATTTGAGATCGCTCCAGCCACCCTGGGTCTCTCAGAGCCTGGACCTATGCATCTGCCGAAGCTCTGGCCGAATTCCAGGCGTCTGTCAGTCCTAGTGCGACCCCATCCAGCCCAGAACCTTCCAAAACCCCAAGGCCAGAGACCCCAGGGGACTGAAAGCCTGCAGCTCCGTGGGAGAATTAAAACCTCAGCAGCCGATGGGTTCCCTAAAGAGGCAAACTCCTACCGGGAGGGGGCACCCTTGTCTTCTTAAAAGTTCAAACATACTGTTAGAATAAAATTTAACACTCCAAATCTTTTGTCTGCTCTGAAATTAATGCAAGCAGAAAAACAGAGAAACCATCAAAAATTTAAGTCTCTGATAACATAATTTAAGAATTACAGACTTTTCACTCTCCCTCTACCTGGGCCCATTTCTGTTCATTGAGGGTGAAGTCCAGTCTCCTGCTTTTCCCCCCATTCCTCATGTGGCGGACACCCTCTTCCCCCCCCCCCCCCCCACACCACCATAATGCTCTCTTTCATTTATCTTTCCCTTCCCACATGCCCATCAGCACTGAAGTCCTGCCACTTCTGAAGTCAGTCAATGAGGGGTTTGCTTGAGTTATCCTTGGTCATGTTTGGGTTTTTATCGACAAAGGAGTAAGAACTTGGGGGTATATAAAGCTAGCCACGTGGAACTTCCCTTGAAGGAGAATATGAAAGGCAGAGGGTGCCCCCTGTGAATAGCTACAAAGCCAGAGAGCTTAGGCTGCACCACAGAGTTTAAAAGGAATTTTTCAATCATAAAAAGGACCTCTGCAAATCTGACCTCCTCCCTCCCACCTTTTCCTCCAGTCTGGGCTCTGTTTTGGTAAATAGATTTAGAAGAATCTAGATGGTTCCCCTACTCATTCTTTCCTGTGGGAGGAGCCAGTGCCTGGATCCCACTCTACATGGGGGCTGACAAACCCCTTGGCCCTGGCCACTGTTTCTTGGAAAATGGTGAGCTGACTTTGCCAGGAAAAACTATCTACATGGTAGGCACTACCCAACATAAGCTGCTGGCCACTGGGAACTTCAATCCAGAGGACTCTCTGTCTTCAGGCCTGGCACTTGATCTCAGGAACCTACCACCCAGCCCAAGCTGCAAGAATGTCCAGCGAAAACCCACTGGCTTTGCTGCTGAGCCCAGGCTTCCAGTCCTGGTTGGCCCCAGGAATATTTGGGAACCAGTACAGAAGCGGAAACTTTGAGTCCCTTTCGGGGTCACTCATTCTGTAACTAACCTGGTCTACCTCAGATTTCCAGAATTTTGAACTATAGTTTTTGCTCTACTTGCATTGGAAAAACAGTTGCTGCCACTTTGTCCTCCACCCACTCAGGATGCAGGGTACATGGGCTAAGCCAGTGAAAAGGAATGGAAAGAAAATCTGCGGCCACCGTGGCATTGGCTGCCAAGAGTTCCTCTCCCCTGAACTTAGGTCTGGGTGCCTCTTTAGAGTGCTGTTCTTCTACTCTCAAAAGTACCTACCTCATGTTCCTGTCCTGAGGCTAGAAGGTTCCTCTGGTGTCATAAAAAGGCAAACAGGAGATAATGGGTGATAGGGGAGCTATTTTGAGGTTTTTCTACTCCAGTATATTTGGGATGGGCCTTGAAGGTAGTAGTGCACTACTCTTTTTATAAGCAGTTTGTGTCTGGGAGATGACTAGTCTACATGGCTATTTCAAGTGGCTCCAAGATGCTCACCAAACCACATTCTGCTCACATTGGAACCACAGAGAACATTAAGGAGAGTCTTGGAGTTAGAAGTGGAGAGCACTGAATTACGTAGGCACTTCCTCAAACTCCATTTCTCTTGAGGAAAAAGGATAAACTTAGGATAACCCACCGGCTTCGTTTTCATACAACTGCAAAATCTAGTAATTAGGGATTAGGGCTTCATGGAGAAGGGGTACAACCTAGGAGGTGGACAAGGAGAGAGGGTGGGAAAGAGCCTGGAAGACAGAAAGGCATCCATTAGCATTGTCCGTCCTTCCCAACTGTCATCTTAGAAAAATGCTAAATGGGCATCATAGTTCCTCAGAGGAATCCGCCTTTTCTCCTCTCTCCAGTCCCCCACCCCATCACTGGAACTGGAAGGGCAAAGTGTAAATGGAAGCAGGGGGGAGGGGTCTTGAGAGGAAGCTGCCCTGCAAAAGGATCTCCTTCCAAGTTTATTCACAATCAGCTCAATTCATGAAAGCATTTCTAAAGTGCTCTACAGAGCTCTAGATAGAAAATGAGACTAATTATCATGGCAACTAGTACTGGTTATCGTGATAATCACCACTGTTAGGATGAATGATTATGATTGGGATGGGTTTTGGGGAACCCTGGTGGAATGGAACGCAACTCCTGGTTTCACTCTCCTGGCACGTATAGGGGTATCCAGATGGCCCCTGATGCACTGTCCAGGAACCAGTGGCCTGCCATGGTGTGCTCTCCTGGGGGGGCCTTCTCAGCAGAGTTCCTCGCCAGGCCTGGCTCTGACAAGTTCCTGATCCCCGAGGACCTCCACACACAAACATTTCCCCTGTCCCCCACCCAGCCAGAGAGATCCCTCACGGTGTAGCGCTGGTCTTGACCTTGGCCAGAACTTTCTTCTCCTTAACCCGGCGGTTCTGAAACCAGATGGTAATCTGGCGTTCTGAAAGGCTGGTGGTCGCCGAGATCTTGCGCCTCTTGTCCTTGGTGATGAACTTGTTAGCCGCATACTCACGTTCTAGCTCCCGCAGCTGCCCCTTACTGTAAGGAATGCGTTTCTTACGGCCACGGCGGAAGGCGCAGCCGTCGGAAGGGTGCTGCGCGCTGGAGTCTGCATGGCGGGAGAGGAGAGAGGACAAGGAACTGCTCAGATCTCCATGGAGCGCAAACCTAAGTGTAGACCCAGGCCCTGCGAAACCGGAGGCTACGTCATCCTGCAGGCGAATCCAGTTCACCCTCCGGGCAGGCGCATGTGTATTTGTACGTCCCCTGCTTCCCCCCCCACCCCAAACACAAGAGACACCTCTGCTTCCAGCTAGTGCTCCATCATTGGTCAGCTCCTGCAGGTCATCCTCACCCATCACTGCCTTCATGCCCGGGAGTGTGCAAGCACACCCACCTCACTCTGCCAGGCCTTTGCCCGCGATCACATATGTCCACCCATTTTCAGATTCTCCACCGTGCCTACAGATTCTCCAGGCAAATTCTGCACAGGAGGAAATATTTTTCTCCTTCCACTACGAACACACAAACATGTATTTAATTCACCCACCCCAATGCGTACACCTGATCTGTGGGAAAACCTACCCTTTGCTCACCTAAGAGAGAGTAAAAGGTCTTATTCTCAAGAGAAGACCCAATGCCTCCATTCCACCCCTACCTTCACACTCACTGAATTGTTTGATTGTGTCGAATCAGACTGGGATCGTGCTGCATAGGGAATAATCTGGCTGAAATCAACCACAAAGAAATCCAAAGCTCTCCAACATATTGAAAGGCTGGTCCCAGGGCCTCCTGGGGGAAGTTGAGGGAGGCTGACCGCCTTGAGGCTTCAGGCAGCACCCAGTTCAGGTCCCTCGCACTGACCCTCTGGGGCCTCCATACGGGCCCTCCAGATGCCTGGACCCTCCTTCGGAGTTCTAATAGGCAACGGAAGAGCACCAAGCTCCTCCTTACCAGCCCCAAGTCTCCCTCCTCCTCCCAGGCAAGTGCCAGCGTAGCCCACGTAGCCCACGCTCAGAGCCAAGAGGACCCAGGGTGTTGGAAGTTACCTGAAAATGCCGCCTTCCAAAAGGGCCCCGGTGGATTCTGTTCACCCTGGCAACACATCTGGCTGTTCCAGCCACCGGCCAAGGCCCAAGGCTGGTAACTGTCCACGGGCAGCAAGGAGTCGTGGCGGGGCTCCCCAGGGGCGCCCAGGGTCTGCACCACCGACACATCCAGGTAACTGGCCATAGGCTGGTAGGGTCCGGGGTACCCCGGATAGAAGGCAAACTCGGTGGGGCGGCTGGGGTACTCCTCCCCAGCCGCAGGAGTCTCCGTGGGGTAGGCAGCCAGGGTGGCCGTCTGGGCACAGGGTTTCAGCGAGCTCCGGGACACTCGGCAGGAGTAGTACCCGCCTCCAAAGTAGCCATAAGGCACGGGAGCTGGGGATGCCCCCTGAGGTACCCCGGGGCATGGGTGGCACTGCTTCGGCGGCTCTGCAGAGCCGGGCAGATCCAAGGGGGCATAGTTGACAGCCGGCATCAGCGTCGGCGCCGCCGGATGGCTGCTCAGTGGGGAGTGGGCGACTAGATTCCGACCTCCTCCTCCTCCTGCTCCCAGCAATCCTTCGATGTCCTTGGTCCCATCCAAGGTGGCATAATTGCCGGGCTCCATGGGGCCGAGGGTCGGCTCATGGGGCGCTGGGGGTGGGGGACGGAGGGGGCACCCAGCTAGCTCTCCCCACCCAGGCCCAGGGAATCCTATGCGCTTTAAATCGCTCGCTGCTCGCTCGGCGCTTGCCTTCGCCCAGCCGGGGCCGTCCTGACGCAAAAGACGCAGGGCCCGGCCACGCGCGCTGATTGGCTGCGGCCTGGGGCGGGGGGGGGGGGGTGGAAGAGACGCTCGTAAAATCCTCCGGGTAGAAATTGCAGTGGGAAGGGGGACGGAGGGAGAGGGGGACAGAGGGAGAGGGGGACAGAGGGAGAGGGGGACCGGGAGTCCGGCCCCTCCCGCCCCCCCCCCCGTTTACTCCTCTCTCCCCCTCCCTCCCTCTCTTCCCCCGCCCCCTCTCTCCTCTCTCTCTCTCTGTCTCTCTCTCTCTGTCTCTCTGTCTCTCTCTCTCTCTCTCTCTCTCTGGCTCTTGCTCTCTGTCTCCTGCGCTTTGGCAGGTTTAACGAGAGAATAAAAAGCTCTCCCAATAAAGTGTCCATCTCCTGGGGTTGGGGTGGGGTGGGGGTTGGGGGTGGGGCTGGTAGGCCACTCCTGGCCTCCGAGGAGAACCCGGGAATGCGCCAGTCACAGGAAACTGGGGAATGGGGGGTTAGGGATACTTTGGGCAACCCTTTCTTGCTTTGAGTTCGGGTACTAGCACCCTTAGTTCGTTCCAGATGTCCCTCTTGTCTCGGATGCATTGTTTTTAAGCGGCTCTGGTGCCCAGGGAGGTGTCTGAGACGCTCCTTTCCCCAGGGACCTCGGCTACTGCCACCACCACCAACCCCTCTAGAAAGCATCGGAGGCCCCAAAGTGAGGGGGCTGGGGACATGAACTTGGAAGTCGCCTACGTGCAATCTGGAGTCCAGAACAGATCATGCAACATCGGGACCTGGATAAGAAATGGAGACTCTAGATATTGCCTGTAAAAGGGAGATGAGTTCTGGATTTCCCTTTAAGGGTGGAAAGAGACTCACCAAGATGTGAGGGAGAGAAGGAAAGAGAATGGGGGGGGGGGGAGGGGAAGAGATAGAGGAGGGAGGGAGATAGAGAAAGGGAAGGAGAAGGGAGGAAAGCAGGAAGGGAGGGAGGGAGGGAGAGATATGCCATTTGAAAAAGAAACTCGTCTTCCCCACTTTTCTGAGATCTGAGCAAGTCTGGCAAATCAAGCCTGGTTAGCTGAAGAAGCTGTGGGAACCCTGGGTCCCAAGAATAAAGGAGCCTGGTCTGTGTGAAGATGCCCAGCCCAGCCTCTCTGCCCTTTAGTCCTCTCCCTGCGGGTTAGGAGGTTCAGAAAACTGACCCTGGTGCCAGCATCCTTCAACTCAAGCTAAGTCTCCAGAAAACTGTAGACCCCTATTTTCCTCCTCCAGGCTTTAAATTTCCTTAGAAGGAAAAGGAGATGGGAGGAGTCCCAACTGCTGGTAGAATTGCTTGAGGCCCCTCCGTTGGGGCCTACAGTGAAGTACAACTCAGAAGATTCAAACTGTTTCACAAATCTGCCTTTAGAAGTTTCTTGTTTTCCTTGAGTACCTCTTCTAGATGAAAATTTATTATTCTAGAATCTCCAGTATTTCTGGAGAAGGCTTCTTCATTCCACACCAAGGACTTGGCATTTAGATGGAACAGACTAACCAACTCCCTCTCACCAAGCTGAACTTGAACTTGAGCCCCTTATAGAAAAAGGCCATGCAAACAAGGTGGAGTAGGTCCAAGTTGTAGGGCTTTGGTGTTGTCTAGATCACTCTCAATGAACATTGCTAGAGACAGAGACCTCAAGCACAGACTCCTTACTAATGTTATTGCATTCAAAACCAACATGAAAGAAAAGGAAGGAGATGTCTGTGCAATACTTACTCCTAATAGTCTAATCCTCAAAGACAGGAATGCCAGGATTTTCCCCCCTAAAGACTGAGACATTTTTCACCTGGAATCATAGAATGAATTCACAGAAATTTACAGTTCTAGCTTCTATTAAGCAAACATGTACATACATACATACATGTGGGGGACCAGAGATGTGGAAAATTATTTATGCTTATACAATATAGACATGGGTAGATCTCTAAATTTAAAAAAAATCACCGCCATATTCTAAAATCGAACATTGCGGGAAACAAACCCAACAGAAGTGAAAATTTATGTTCATCAGAAGGCTTTTTCCAGTGCTTGCCTCAAGAACACATATACTAAAATCAGAAAGATGCAAAGATTAATGCAGCTTCTGCACAAGGATGGCATGCAAGTTCTCAGTTTACACTCACAGTGATATATACATATATACATATATACATATATACATATATACATAGTGTGTGTGTGTGTGTGTGTGTGTGTGTGTGTGTGTGTGTGTGTGTGTATTATGCTGGAGACCAAACCCAGAGCATGCTAAGCAAACCCTCTATCACTGACCTACACCACACGCCCATTTTTAGGAGGTACTGGGGTTTGAATTCAGAACTCTGTGCTTGGCAGATACTCTACTACTTGAACCACTCCACCAGCCCCTAGAAGGCAAAAGTGACAGATGCATTCTAGCATTACCCATAACAGCTCAAAACTAAAAACAAGTCAAATGTCCATCAACAGTAGAATGGGTAAATAAATCAAGCTGGAATTAAACAATGAAGAACTGCACATGAATGTTCAAAACCCAACAAACTATACTAGTGTATACAATATGGGTGAATTACACTGATATGTGAGCAAAAGAAACCAGGCACAAAAGAGTGATTTTTGTACGAAGTCATTTCTACACAGTTCAAGAACCATAAAACTTTGTGTATGGTGACAGAGGCTGGAATAGAAATGATCCTGAGGACCAAACTCCCGTCTGCTGGGGACACAGAGGCTCTCTGGGATGAGGAAATGTTCTCTTTCTCAGTATGGTGTTAGATGTGTGTACATATTTTATGAATTTCTTATCATACTATATGATTGGGATGTCTGTACTTTTTAACTCTCGATTTTGAAGAAAACATAACTTAAAATTAAATTTAAAATTCTAACAACTATGGAGATTGCCTAGCATGAATGAAGCCCTTGAATTTTATCTCCAGCATTTGTGGGGGGGGGCGTTTCAAATCATAGCTATGGAGTTTTAGTTTTGTACATATATTGTTTATATACCTATCCCTGGAAATAAGTAACAAAGTGCATATAATTGCATTGCTGTTGAATTCAGAGGTGGCCAACTTAAAATTTGCCCCCAGAGAAGTTCATCAGGCTCTGTTAGAGATCCCTTGTAAATAGATATATTCAAAATAAAAAATTTTGTAGGTGTGTGTGTTTGTGTGCATGCGTGCACACAGATACTGGGTCTGGACACTGTCCTTAAACTTTTCCTCTCTAAAATGGTGCTCACTTGCGCCACAATGCCACTTCTGACTTCTTGGTGGTTAATTGGAGATAAGCCTCACAGGCTTTCCTGCCTGAATGTGATCCTCAGATCTCAGCCTCCTGTGTAGCTAGAATTACAAGCATGAGCCACTGAGTAACACCTGACTAAGGTTTGTCGGGCTGATGATTTATTTAGCATCCACTAGATCTAGGGATTAAATCTCACATTTATTACCACAAGAGTGTGTGCTCCTACTTCCTGTGCATGTCTATATATGTATCTGCATCTTTTTGTGACCTACAGATCTTAATTGAAGCCAGGTAAAAATAGGATCTGTCAAAGGGTGCTAATAACTCTTACCTCGCAGGAATGCTGTGGCAATTTAATGAGATTTTGCTCATGAAACCGTTTCATAAACTGAATAAATATGCTTCTATTTCTGTCCCTGTATGTTCTATATCTGTTTCTATTGAAGCCACCTGCTTTTCATTGAAAAGAACAGTTGCCTTAAAGAAAGGCGGATCACTTCTCACTGGTTACTGCTCCACGCCTGCATCCCCACAAAGAGAAACTGGGGCTCAATGTCTCTTCAAAGTCTTGCGGGGTGTGGGGGTTGCCCTTATAAGAGTTTGAGGGCCTAGATTCCCCTGTACACCCTGGCACCCCTGGTCTCCGGATTGCCTGCGCTCCGTCTGCCCTTCCCCCAAGACCCACAGAGGCCTTTGTGTCCTGCTGCGAGCCTTCTCCGGGCAGACCCACCGGGAGGAGGGCGGGGCCGGGGGGGGGGGGAGCTCTGCAGCCCCCTTTACTGACTTAGCCAAACGTGCTGAAAGCCTCAGCATGCTCCTTTACATACCCGCCAGACACTTCCAGGAAGGTCAAGGCCAAGTTGAAAGTTAAGAGTCTGTTTACCTCCGGGAGCCCATTCAGCGCAGCCCGGCAGACCGCCTGTGACCTTTACAGCCCGGCCTTTGAGCGGGGCCGCCGCGCCCCCCGGGGGTTCCAGCCACGGGGACTTGGCACCTTGGTGTCAGCAACCCCCCCCCCCCCCCAACGCCCGGGCTGGAGATTCGCCAACCCGAGGGAGGGAGCGAAAGATGCCCACCACCCGCCCCACTGGCGAGCATTTGTTAAACTATGGGTGTTGGAGGTTTTGGGGGGGGGGGGGTTATGTTTTTTGTTTGTTTGTTTTGGTTTTGGCTTTTTTGTTGTTTGTTTATTTTTGGAAAAATGAACGGTCTCTGCTTTGGTTCTCCTGTGCAGTGGTGGCCACGATGGCGGCGGTGGCGAAGAATAATGAGGATTTCTTTGCAGCGCAGAAAGGTTCGGGCTGTGAGGTCCCCAAGTCCCGGAGAAACTACTCGGGGTCGCCTCGCTACTCCTGGGTTCTTGAAAACGTCCTCGTTGCTGGTGCGCGCTTCCCTGCTTCCTTCCATTCTTCTTTCTTTTCTCTGATCTTCTGGTGTTTTATTTATATTCCCCCTCCTTACATTTCACTTAGCTGGATTTTACATGTCCTTTCTTGATTTCTCTCCCCTCCCCTTATCCTTTACTTGTTGGATCCCTTTTATTTATTTATTTATTTTTGCTCTTTACCTGACACATGCACTATTTTCTTTCTCTTTCCTTCCCCCCCCCCCTCATTTTTTTTCTTAATTTTCTTCTTTTTCCTTCTTTTTCAATCTTGTTTCCTCCTGATCTCTATTTCTTTTCTCTCTTTTTTTTCTTTCTCTGTTTTGGTTTTTTTCCT